TCTTCGTCTCTTCATCTTGGATCACTTGAGAGTAATGAGCTTCCAAGTGTGAGTTGATGATGACTTTGAATAATGGTGGTTATCGTCGGTTGTATTTGGCCAGCCGCCATCAAAGAAGTTAGAGAACAAGGAGGGGTCTGTGTTTGGTTGGGGAGAGGGAGACGGAGACAGAGATAGAATCAAAGTCGGAGTCGGAGACAAAGACAAAGTCAGAGTTGGAGATAAAGATGGATATGGAGTCGGAGTAAGAGTCGGAGATGGAGACTGAAACCAAGTCAGAGACTGAGGCTGAGATAAAGTGGAATCATAAAAAGGAATTTTAAAAAATGTATCACATGTGAACAAAGTATAACGGAAAGTTAATGGCAAAGAAGGTTTTAAACAATTATAAGAAAACTTAAGGGTACTTTAAGACAATAAGTAAACAATAAGGGTAGAGTTAGTCAATGTCATAAACCATAGTGGTACTTTAAAAAATTTGCCCTTTACAATATATAAAAACAATGCTTCCAAAATCCAAACACGAGCAAAACTGGATGAAAATGCAAATTTATACCCTGCAAATTTAATGATGTTAATCGTAAGTACACTTTATGAAAGTTAATCTAACCTTCCGAAGAGCATAGTTCTCCCTGTCGGTGTTGATAATAGGAATACACTGCCGGAAAAGCTGAAATCAAGGGGAAAACATCGCCGGAGAGCATTATACGAAGATTTTCACCATTTTATTGGGAAATTTGCCACTATTAGAAATGTTTTTAATCCCACCATCGTCAGAGAAGATAACACTTGTTGTCGACATCGGAGAAGACAAACAAGTTTTTTTTTTTGCTATTTTATTTCTATCCATTTTCTCATATAACATAGAACTGGGAAGACATCAATGTAGAGGGAACATGGGATTGGGAGTGGCCAACTCAGGAAGCAGTTTGACTTGGATTTCCAATGCAATCAAATTCAGATCATGTTACATGTTCATCCAAGTAACATGCATGTTTTGTTATTGTTACCTCTACATTTATATATATATATATATATATATATATAATAAATTTGGATGGTCCATGTCAGCATCTCTCTTTTTAGAGAGAAACTATTTATCTATTTTCTCAATTTTTTTTTTGTATTTTTATGTATTTTCTTTTATTTTAAAAATATAAAAAAGTAATCATTGCATTAAAATAAGAAGCCTTGGAAAACCCAAAAATCTCTCTATGTGTGCATTTAAAGAGGACATTTAAGAGAGAGAGAGAGAGAGTGAGGGAGTAGTAATAATAATTATTGTATTTTAAAAATTATAGTATTACTAATAATTATAACATTTTTAATAATTAACAACATTTTTATTAACTAATGATATTAACCATATTTTAAAAAATAATGTATTTATTAATTAAAAGTATTTTTAAATATTATCAGTATTTATTCAAAAACAATATTAAATAATGTATTTATTAATTAATATAATGTAAGTTATAACTTATTAAAAAACAATATTAACAATTATAGTATTTATTAATTAATAGTATATTGATTAGATTAATAAAGATGCACAGTATTAGAGAAAGAGACCTTTGGGTTTTCCAAGGCCTCTTATTTCAATGTATATTATTATTACATTTAAAAAAGGCATTTAAGAGAGAGAGAGAGTAATAATAATTACTGTATTTTAAAATTTACGGTATTAATAATAATTACAAGATTTTTTAATAATTAATAATATTTTTATAAATTAACAGTATTAACCATATTTATTAAAAATAATGTATTTATTCATTAACAATATTTTTAATTAATTATTAGTATATATTTACAACAATATTAAATAATGTATTTATTAATTAATATAATGTATTTATTAAATAATTAAATTATTTTATTAATTAATAGTATTAACTATACTTTAGTTAATATAGTATTTTTAATAATTATAGTATTATTAAATAATCAAAATTATTTATTAAAATAATGAATTTATTATTTAACAAGATTTTTATTAATATAGTACTTTTAATAATTACAATATTATTAATTAAAAATGATGTATTTTTAATAATTAATCATATTTTACAATATTTTCAATAATTGCAGTATTATTAATTAACAATGTTTATTAAAATATTGTATTTTATAGTATTAATATTTTTTATTAATTCATTAATTAATATTTTTAAAACTGTTAATTATATTTAAAATTGTAAATAAATATAATTAAAATTTAAATAGTAGTTGAAAGTAATTATATTTAAATTATTTATTTAAATATAATTTAAGTTATAAATAGCAAAAATTTATATTTAATGAACAGAAATTATCGAAGAAAATAACCAAAAAAGGATTAACATGATTTCCAATAAATATGATAAATTACCAAGAATAAAAAATATAACCATTAAAATTACTTTTTGAGAGAAGCTATTTATCTATTTTCTCAAAATTTTGCATTTTTTCTATTTTGTTTTGTTTTAAAAAATATAAAAAAGTAATCATTGCTTATCTTAATTAGATCAATAAAGCTACACACTATTACTGAGAGAGACCTTTGGGTTTTCCAAGGCCTCTTATTTTAATGTATGTTATTAATACATTTCAAAAAGACATGTAAGAGAGAGAGATAGAGAGAGAGAGAGAGAGGAATAATAATTACTGTTTTTTAAATTTATAGTATTAATAATAATTAATAGTATTAACCATATTTATTAATTAACAATATTTTTAATAATTATTGTATTTATTCAAAAAAATTAATATAATGAAATTATAATTTATTAAAAAACAGTATTGACAATTACAATATTTATTAATTAACAATAATTAAATAATTATATTATTTTATTCATTAACAATATTAACTTTACTTTTAATTAATACAATATTTTTAATAATTATAGTATTATTATTAATTAAAAGTATTTATTGAAATACTAAATTTATTAATTAATAGTGTTTTTAATTAATATATTACTTTTAATAATTATAGTATTCTAATTAATTAACATTATTTATTAAAAATAATGTATTTTTTACTAACAATATTTTTAATAATTATAGTATTAATAATTAACCGTATTTTATAGTATTTTCAATAATTGTAGTATTATTAATTAAAATATTGTATTTATTAAAATATATTAATATTTTTTATTAATTCATTAATTAATAGTTTTTTAAATTGTTAATTAGTGTAAGTTATAATTTAAATCATATTTTAAATATTATTTAAATTATACTTGAAACTATAAGTAATATAATTAAATTTTAAACTTTAGTTAAAAGTAATTATGTTTAGATTATTTATTTAAATATATATTTAGCTATAAATAGCAGAAAATTACATTTAATGAACATAAATTAGCCAAGAAGATAACCAAAAATAAAGTACCAATAATTTTGTCATAATTACCAAAAATTACCCAACAAATTACCAAAAATGATTAATATAGTTTCTAATAAAATATGATAAATTACTAAAAATTAAAAATATAACCATTAAAATTACTTTTTGAAAATATGTACTAATTATCAATAATCTTCAAGAAGTAAATGGAATTAGTCCATACTCTATTTAAAATACATATGTTTTTTCATATAAATTATGAATTATATAATTTAGACATTATAATCCTTGCCTATGATGATATTAATTCATAATGTTACAAATGGAAAATAGAAAAAAGGTGTTTACTATTATGTATTTCCATTATTTCGCTTTCACTCAACAAAGCCCGTGTATCACACGGGTCCCCGCTAGTCCTCAATATGAAAAAAACAACTTATTGTGACTTCACGCTACGCTGTTCTTGTTGCTTCTCCCCTGGGTGAATCCCCTTGTGGCCTTGTGCCTCTCTCTCCTCTCTCTCTTAGCCTAGAGTTCAGTGACCCACATCCCTAGCGACGAAACCCCCCGACCCTTGATAACACCTGGAGACCTGGAGTGCTCGTGTCTCACTTGAATTGGGATATGCTCCTCATGTAGGGCACCTCACAATGAGTTCACAGTCACATCCCACAGTGCATTGGGAACATCTCCCGTAAATAGTAACACATAAGTACAAAAGGTATTCCTAATGCACAGTGGGATGTGCCTGTGGGGTTGGTGTGAGGCGCCATGTGTGAGTAGAACAAAACACAACGATTTTGTTCTACTCAAATCTAATATTGTTCTTTTTAAATTGAACATTGATTTTTTATACAACTTTAACATATCCCACCCTTTAAATGAAACCATTCTTTTCTCGTTCTCTCACTCTCACTCTCACTCACTCAGACCTTTTCTTTGTTCAGAGACAAAAACACAACATCTGCTTTCTACTCTTGTTATTTTCCGAATCCAAATACTAACCTTACCCAATTACGAATGTATCAAATTATCAATTATATTCTAAAGCTAGTTTTAGAATCTGATAAAATGTCGGGGGTAAAAAACTTAAGCTTACCACCTTCTTCGTCGTTCTTTCAACCTACGCGTGCTCAGAATGAATAACAGTCGTCAATCTACTCTCCTCCTCTCCTTTGTCGTTCCTTCAACCCAGTTTCAAGAGAAAGGGACGGAATGGGGTAAGCTTATCAATAAACAATTGGAATTGATTGAAGCTTACCAACTTCTTACAACCTGCGTGTGCTCTGAATGAAGAACGGTTGGTTAGTTAATGCCACCTCTCCTGTGCCATTCCTTCAACTCAGATGGAAGAGAAAGGGGAAAAGGATAAAATGGTCCGAATATTGTCATAAAGGTTAATTTTTACATTATGAAATTATTTAAACTGCACTTGATCTCATGTGAATGTAATAACTCTGACTGACGGTGAGTTAACGCGAGATGCCGGATACTGGATTATTGCATTTTAAAATTAGGGAATTTTCCCTAATAACAACCAATTTTTACAATCAAAATGCTCGTGATGCCCACATTGCCCTCGTCTTAAGTTCACGAGGTCAGTTTAGTAATTATAAGGCGAATGGATTACCCTTTTCGTTTAATTTGAAAATGGGCGGGGCATTTGAAGCTGCTGAAGCTGACCTATTGTCCGACTCGTCCATCTCTCGGTCTCTCACTCTCTCGAATTCCCTCTGCAATGTCGGAGAAGTATTTCCTCTCCGATCCTTCCAAAACCCTAGCTAGTATCTTGAATTCTTGATACCCTCAAACTCCCCCTAATTGCCTTCACGCAACATCTGATATACTTTCTCTTCCTTTCTCATCTCAACAATCGCTCTGTGAAAGATATTAGAATGTCAGGTCTCTGTTGCTGAACAAATCGAGCTTTGCATTCCCGAATCTGCGTTCAATATGTCCCGAGACATGTCTGCATTCGGAATCCCGGCCATAAACAGTTCAAGAACCACTCAGTCCGAAGGAAACGAGAACGAATTCGAAATTCCTGTCAATTCGATCCCCCTCCGCCCTCCAAGAACCCCTCTGAATACCATACCGGACCCCTCGCAAAACCCTAAAGAAACCCAAGAACATGACCTGGGTTCTAGGGCTAAGCTTGACACTGGTCGGTTGATTCGATTACCAGATAGAAAGACCGAGGCTTTTGATCACTTGCCGCCGTTGAACAAGGGGAATGGAAATATCAATCCTGGTTCGAATTGTGCAACCCCTAGAGGTGCTGCCCGTGGGAAATCTCACTCGGAGCCGAATTCAGCTCAGAGTACTCTAGCCAGGAGTGTTTCGAAGGTTTCTAATGGTGGAGCGGCATTAGGAGGTTCTACAAGCAATCGAACTCTTCAGTATAACGGACTAAAAGGATGTATTTCTTCTAGGGTTTCTCGTGGCATCTCAATTGTACCATCCATGCCGTTGATGGAGGTTCCACATTTTGAGCTTGTGGAAGATCCTTCTTTCTGGATGGATCATAATGTGCAGGTTCGCTAACTTCTGCTTCTTACATTTCTCTCTCTCTTTCTCTCTCTCTAAGATGATTCCTCTATACAGGTTTTGATACGGATTCGACCTCTCAGTACTAGTGAGAGGACTTTGCAAGGGTATGGTAGATGCTTGAGGCAGGAGAGTGCGCAGACCTTAACATGGCTTGGGCATCCTGAAACAAGATTTACCTTTGATCACATAGCATGCGAGACGATATCACAGGTGCCATTTGGTGAATATGTATCAGATTGCTGTAATTGGTTGATATGATTCTTTACTTGATAGTTTATGTGAATTGTCTGATGTCTTCCTAAAATTTCAAACAGGAGAAGCTCTTCAAGGCCGCAGGCCTGCCCATGGTGGAGAATTGTATGTCTGGGTATAACAGCTGTATGTTTGCATATGGTCAGGTATACCTTTTGGAGGCTTAAGGTGGGTAGAGTGGATAGTAGGGCAAAATCTAAAGTTTTTCTTTATGTTCTCTTGCAGACTGGCAGTGGCAAAACATACACTATGATGGGTGAAATATATGAGATGGACAACAAGCTAAATGAAGATTGTGGAATAACACCTCGAATTTTTGAATATTTATTCATGAGAATTAGAGCGGTAGGACACTAGAAATCCTCATTAACTGCCATGAGTAGAGGCATCATTTTCTTATTCAATAAATTTTTTCTTGAAAGTAAATATTTGTACAGGAGGAGGAGAGACGGAAGAATGAAAATTTGAAATACAGTTGCAAGTGTTCCTTCCTAGAGATCTATAATGAGCAGGTAACAGATCTTTTGGAGCCTTCATCAACCAATCTTCAGGTAAAATAGTCTACTTTCTTGTCTGTGGGATCTGTCTGCATTTCCACATGATGGCTAATGGCTTTGTTTCTCTTTTTTAGCTCAGGGAAGATATGAAGAAAGGCGTGTATGTTGAAAACCTCACAGAATATGAAGTGACAACTGTCAATGATGTAATTAAACTTCTGTTAAAGGTAAGTTAACAATTAAATTTTGAGTTTTAGTACTTCTTATGAATGCATGTGCAATTATGCACTATTGTACCTGCACAGGGTGCCACAAACAGAAAAATGGCAGCAACTCAAATGAATAGTGAGAGCAGTAGGTCCCATAGTGTCTTCACCTGTGTCATCAAAAGCCGATGGGACAAAGATTCCATGACCCACACTAGATTTGGAAGGCTAAATTTGGTAGACCTTGCTGGTTCAGAAAGGTAAAACTTTAATCCTTTTAATGAGCAATGGCAATATGTTGATTCCATTCTTCTTCTGCACACTGAACTATCTTAATTTAATTAGGCAGAAAAGTTCTGGTGCAGAAGGAGAACGCTTGAAGGAAGCTGCAAATATCAACAAGTCATTATCAACTCTTGGGTAATATAGCTAGAGTGTCTTTTATTAGATTACTCTGCAGTTATATCTTTTTGAGTTGTAATACCATTTCTACATGGAAGCATGGTTGTTAAGGTGATGCCTAGGTGACAAGGGGCTCATGGAGGGTTGTGTTGTTTAGTTTCCAAGCTAATTTGTACATGATGCTAGGAAATAGTTTACCTGTTCTAAAAATATATAATAATAAAAACAATTATTAAACTAAAATATTCATTTTGTGGGTTTATATACTGATTTATTTTTATTATTTTTTTATTTGTTAGGGTTAACCAACACATATGTTGGTATATGCTGTCTTGAACCCTCAAAGACTTAAAAACCTGAACCAATAAGCTAGGAAGAATTTAAAGTCTTGGCCAATAAATATGTGCTTCTTCTTCTTATTCTTCCACCTTTTATTTTCTTCTTTTCCTAGGACAAAAACAGGGGAAGGATTACTGACTGGTAGAAAACTGCATCCCAAACTGCTTTATCTATGAATTTTTTTGTCTAGAATTCAAACTAGTAGGTTTCATCATTGGAATGCTTCTGCTTAGAGCATTGGATTTCCAATTGAGCCATTCTGACATGAGGTTTGTATAGATTTCTAATGGGGGTGCTTGAAGGTTATGTGAATCACTGAAATGGTAAAAGAAGATAAGCTTAACAAAAGCCACCAAGTTTAATTAGTATCGTTAAATATTGTTCAAATTGCCACTATATTCATATGTGTCATTGGATAAAAAATTGGGAATTTTTGAATGGTTCTTGTACCTTTACTCACCACTGATAATCTATGCTAGCAGTCTGGTGATCATGACTCTGGTGGATGTTGCTCATGGGAAACATCGTCACATTCCCTACAGAGATTCTAGGCTCACTTTTCTCCTTCAGGTTGGAGCATTCTATATTCTATTTTGAGGTGTCCATCATCTATTAAGTTGTATAATCTCTTGTTATATTGTGGGTAACTTGTTAACCTCTCATATATCTTTGTGTGCAGGATTCCCTTGGTGGGAACTCAAAAACAACAATTATAGCAAATGTCAGTCCATCTATTTGGTACGTAGTTTATTTAAGTTTTCATTTTTGGACACTGACTGTTTTATTGTGATATATGGTTAGTTAATTATTGTTTTTCTGCAGTTCTGCAAGTGAAACACTAAGCACCTTGAAGTTTGCTCAGCGTGCCAAGCTAATTCAAAACAATGTACTTGCATGGAACTCACATTTTCCTATTGTGATGTAAAGTACAAGTTCAAGAAATTTTGCTTTATCTTGCTATAATTTGCCTTTTTTCTAGGCTAAAGTAAATGAAGATGCTTCAGGTGATGTAACAACACTTCAGAGGGAAATACAACAACTAAAGGTGTGGTTACTGTTAGTTATGCTTGTGGAATTTCTCAATTGAACTTGATTATTGGAACTTACTAATTAGATATTTAACAAACAGGACCAGTTGAACTTTTTGTTGAGAAATCAAGACCTTTCAAGATCTCTATCATGTTGCTTCCCAACTTTTGAGCAACCTAATTTGAGTGATTGTGATGAAGAACATAAGTCCTTTCTGAGAGGAAGAATCCCTGATAATAAGGACAATGCAAGTATGCCCCCAGAAAAGGTAATCTTTAACCCTCATGGAAAGGTGTTTCTATTGTCCAAGTATGTTTGATTTCTTGATGGCCACATGCCCTTTGGTGTATATCAGAGAAAATGCATGGAAGCCACTATAGTTGGTTCCCTTAGGCGAGAAAAAATGGCAGAGGATGCAGTCAGGATGTTAGAAGCTGAAATTGAACACATGAAACGTTTGGTATGCCTGGTTGCTGTTTAGTTTCTAATCCTTAATGTTCTACCATAATGGAAAGTTTCCATGTAAATATTAGGCCCCAGTTGATCTTTGTGTATTTATTTTTCTGATATCAAATATATTCATGTCCTTCAAAAGATTGAACTTAACTATGAGTCTATGATCTCAATTTTCCTTATGCCTTATTCACTATTTCTCTGGTACTGATTTTGTACTTATGGCAATGTTTTTAGGTCCACCAAAGAGATGAAGATGCTGAATGTACTAAAATGATGCTTAAGTTCCGTGAGGATAAAATTAAAAGACTTGAATTATTAGCAGATGGGTTAGTGTCTGGAGATGAGTATCTCATGGAGGAAAATAGTGCTTTAGCTGAAGAAATTCAGTTACTTCAAGGCAGAATTGATAGGAATCCAGAACTGACTCGATTTGCCTTGGAGAATATAAGACTCGTAAATCAACTAAGAATGTAGGTCTCGTGGAATTTTTACTAATAAATAGATACCTATTCCCCGTAATCCTTTTTTCCCACGAGGTGTATCATTTATGTACTGATAAAAAAGTAATTTATGTTACTATTTTCATCAGGTTTCAAGATTTCTATGAACAAGGAGAGCGCGAAAAATTGTTAAATGAAATTTCAGAATTGCGGAAACAGGTTTCATTTTCTTTTTCCTATTTTTCATCCAATTCTGAAATGGATTTCTTCCAATTGATTCTGGCTTTGTGTAACTATATTTTGGTTATGTTCAGCTTCTGGAAACCCTTGAAGGGAACTATGAGCCACAAGATTTCCCTTCAAGAAAAAATGTTCAGGTTTGTTTTGTAACATTTGGTTGTATCAACTTTTTCTTTCATTTATGTTCAATATTTGTAGTTCATTTTCCAACTTTCTTTATTTTGCAGGAAAATGATACCTTAAAGGAGTTGGAAGATTGCAGGAGGAATCTTCGTGCTTGTCTAGATATCAATGCAGGACTGACAAGGTGTGCATGTTTGATCATTGCCTTTATCTAATGCTCATTAATTTCCATGTCAAGCCTAACCAATTATTAATGCATTTGATCCCAGTTGGCTTTATGAGCGCCATAGAATTGCATTCCTTGCGCCTTTCTACTGTATTTAGAACTTTCTTGTCACAACAGAACATCTACTTTCAGCACAATTAAGTGTTTAAAGCTTAGCTAGACAAGGTAACTGTAGAGAAAATGATTGACCAGCTTGTGGTCCCACCTCTTCATATGTTTCCTTTGATTATATTGCTGTTGGAATGTTCTTTTCTGTTGTTTCTAGTGACAGGGGTATTCCTGTCATTGTACCTCTTTTTATTATAAGCCTAATAGAAATAGCACTTGGGGCGGCAGACTAAAGATGTCTGAACCCTTTTTTCTTCTCTTCTCTTCTCTTCATCTTTGTTTTCTTCCTCATTTGTGACTGCTAAATAGGTCTGAACCTCATTGGTTTCAGACAACTGTAACATAACAACTAACAAGTATGTTTGCGGGCTGCAGAAAAATATGACCTTGGTTTGCAAGGCCATCTTTCCATAATTGATTGCCTTCAAACATGCAGGAACAACCTTCATTAAATGTTTGTTTAATGACTTGTCCAATCTCCATTTCCATACTCTCCTCCAGGATTCCCTAGCTGTAACTTTGCTAGTTGCTAGCATTGGCTCTGAAGGGTCACCTTAGTACATGGCGCAAGTGCTAAGCATTGGGGTCTCCAAAGATATCTGGTGTGTGACCCTTAAAAATCATGGGATTTGTTGTTAGATAAATATCAAATTACATTGATAATATTAATACACAATAAGAATAACAAAATTAAATAACTTAAAAAAAATAAAATCATTGGCAACTTATTGGATGTGTTCTTTTCTTGTGACACATTGTTTAAGAGTGCTAAGTTCAGAAATTCTTGGCTAACTTTAATGGTGTTTGGCATTGATGCGATTTTCCAAAAATTGGTGCCATGTCGGGGCCACTTGGAATAAAAAAGAATTAGTGATTTTCAATCTGTTTGGTTGGTCGATTTTTGGGAAATCGGAAGAAAAATGGTTCATGAAATTGGACCATCTTGAGGGATCACCTTTTTCGGTGATTCCAATTTTGGGAGGACGGCATGACATCCAACATGTCTCCAAGAAAAGGATAATTCCAAGGAAAAATAATCACCCTTGAGAATCAGTACCAAACAAACTGCTTACATGGCATAAATGATACCAAACAACATTTTTTGGTGATTTTTTTAATCACTGATTCTAGAAATCGATGATTTTTGGATAATCAAAAAGGAGGAATCATCATTGATGCCAAACATCACCTTCATTTTGGAACCAGTGCTACATAGACATAGACTTGGGAATTGGATACTGATGTCTATTAGAGTTTGACTCAACATGATGAAAAAATGGAATTAGGCACTTACCTGGGTGTTATCTGGTTAAGTACATTTACCTGTGTTTTTTTTGCAGAGAATTGTTAGTTGGGTAAGTGAGAATTTCCTAAAAGACCCCTAACTTTTATGTGCCGGCAGGGATATTTTAGTACCACATAGTTTGGCCAAATTCCCCCCTCCATGGGTAAGTAACTTACCCACTTGGGAGATGAGTTAGACTTTTCCGGGTAAGTTGCCAAAAAAACTTACGTGGGGGAAGTTGGCTTTCTGTGGGGTCCACACCAAAAAGCAAACATGGGAAAGTTGGTTAACTTCCCCATTCACCACATTTTTGGATTCTAATATGATAATAGCATATACCTATGGGATTTTTTTTGAGAAAAATAATGTATATTATACTAATTGTATGATTTGGGGGAACCCAAATGGAGTGTGACTGTACATGGGGTGAGAGGTCCCAAAAAGAATAACTGAAAGAAAATCCATTACAAAAATAGGGCATCAATTGATAGATTAGATGCCTTTGGCCAAAAGAAAATCTTTGCTAACATGTTGTGTATAATTTCATCTATTTGAGAGGATTTTCCTTAAGCAATTATTTTGTTCCTCTCCATCCAGATGGACTATAACAATGCCGCAAGCATCATACTTAATATATATAGTATTAAGTATATATGATTTATTGTATAATACATCATATAATATTTTATAATAGGCATATATTATTATTATTATTATTATTATTATTATTATTATGATTAAATATGCAATATGTGGGCCAGGCCAAAGTGTTTGGCCCAAGCCTGACCCGAAAATTTGCGGGCTAGGGCAGGCTGGGTTTCCTGGCCTGGCCAAGAATGTGATCACCCCTAACTGCTGGAGATGGAGTAGCATGTCTAAAAGTTTATATTTGTTAATAGGTAATGTTCTATAGAAAATTGGTATTGATCATGTACATTATCTAGTTATTATGTCAAATAAACAAGGACAATAAGGAAAACTTGGGCTCTGTTTGGGAAGAGTGCAAATGTCGGTTCAGTTCATATTTGCACTCTGGTTCAGTTTTGCTAGTGTTTGGTAAGAGTGCATTTATGTCTTGACAATGACAACAAACACAGATTTCAAGACATGTTTGCATTCACAATGAGAGCAAAGTTTGCATTCAAAATATGGATGCAAACTTTGCACTCAATGTTGATCAATGCTAAGCTATATTTCAATCTCAGGATTTGTGTTTGTACCTATCACAACTAAAAATCATTTGAAATGAATACAAAATTATCATTACAAAACTAAACCAACTTTGCATTTTCATGAACCAGACATATTTGCATTTGTAATGATCATATTTGTATTTGCACTATTCCCAAATGGAGCCTAAATGTAGAAATGTCCCTCAAGAATTGGAGTGTGAGAATCCAAAGAGTGTCAGACTCTGATAATTAATTTAGAAGAGTCCATGCAATTCTGCTTAGTGCATCATCAAAGTGTTAGAAGTGTTTGTGTGGATTTCTAAGTGTTAGCATGGCTAGACATATTTGTTTTGACTTTTGAGGTGTCCTGGTAGCATGGATGCACTTTCACTAATTACCTAATATTGAGATTTTAGCAATTTTGCAGTCCTTAGACAAGTGCATGAGTTTTGACATTGTTAGAAGTTGAATTTGGAAATAGTAACTTGATGAGTCTGAAGAACAGTTGATAGTTTTCCCTTCCTCAGTACTTCTGGTTCCTGCTGATCCGAGTTACAAAGCAAGTATCCTTGGAGTTTATGTTAAAAAAACATTGATTCATGGGAGGCACCAAACTGCTGGGATCAGTTGAGACTACCACTCCATATTAGAATATATTAGATATCACATGACCCCCCCTAAGAGTCTTTTGTAACAAGTACCCAAGGGCCTGCTGTTCTGATTTTCTTGGCAACATTTTCAGTTGCAGAAGGTTCATCTTGAATACTTCTTCTGTTTCTCCCTTCCTATACAATCCAGTTTATGGCATTGGGTATGGTTTATAAATTTGTTAATTGGCAAGTTGGTTATGCCAAGGGACAAGGGGAACATCTAAAAGTATCTTGTTAAAGATAGAAATGAAACCAACATACAATATCCTCTTGGTTGACATTAGATGTATTAAATACTGAGTTAATTTTTCATGAAGTGTAGATTGGTCATGACTATAAAGACTTGTGTATTTAGTCTCTTCCACTTGTTTTCTGCAACATTAGCAGATTCTTTTGTCCATCTGCTCTCTTTACTTGCTTTTGAAAATGCTGTCAAACTCAAATTAAAGCACCTAGTGGGGATTTTGGTTTTGTATCAGAGGTTATGCATACAACTCTCATAAACATGTAAACTATGTCATTGTACAATGGAAGTACAGCATGTTGTTCCTTTTCTATGTAATTTGATATATGATTTTTATCAACAGGGAAGTTAATGAATTGCAGAAGGAACTGCAGAAATATTTAAGCTGTGGCAAAGCTGCATTTCATTCTGTAAGAATTGATATTAAACTATATCCTGTTTTTGATTCTTAGATGGATTAGTGAACTATTAGAAGCTGCAGTGGTTGGATTGGGAGTTTTTTTATCTTGGTTTATTTATTTTGCAGAATACAGATTCCTCATTTGGAGATGATGCCACAATTAAACAAACAGATTATTCTTTGGTGAGCAAATCCTTTGTTTTGTCCCATGCTCTGTCTGATTCCTTTGTGTTAGGTCTGAAAGGCTGAAACTATGATATCAAGCTGCAGCACATGGCTAACATCTGCCTTTTGCCTCTGGGTATTACTAGTTTCAGAAAGATGTCCTAATGAGAGCAGGTTCAGAATACTGCTATCTATTCTGAAAATCATAATGTTGGTTATAGTGCTTGGGAATTCTTTTAGCAAGGATGGTCTTAGATAGTTTTTATCTGTTTTTTTATTTCTTTTCTGTCATGTCTTCCTTGTTAAATGTCAAGTAATTTTAGAAGAGAACCCATAAAGGGCTTTTGACTAATGTTGGTCCCAGCTATCCAGGATCATGGGAAGGGTGAACTAGACTCTGGCATTTTTTTGCACAAAGTGGCTTTTCTCAGATTCTAACCCGTGTTTTCATGTTTGTCAGCTTGAAAATTTTCCATTGCACCAATAATATAAGGGGAGTATACAGAAATAATATGTAATCCTATTTTGGGTGCACCACAAAAGTTATTTTGGTTTGAAAGATGGTGATGAAGATGCCAACCCAAACAATTGAACCAAATTTCACATGATTAATGATTTTTGGAATTCAAAAGGATTTTGAAACTATTATCTTTTAGGCTGCTGATGACATGCAATTTTCACAGGTTGAAATCATATCAAATAAATTTGATTGTGAAGATGAGGTTGCATATTATAATCAGGGGAAGAACGAGATCATACAAAAACAGAATGACCATAAGATCTGTGATCTTTCAGAATTGCCTGATAGTGACAACCAGAAAGAACTGAAGGATGCAAAATTCTTGATTGAAGCAATGGAATCGGAGCGGGTCCATCTAGTTGAAGAGCTGGATATTCTTCGACAGGAAAACTGCAAATATGCAAAACTCTTAAGGTTCAGAAATTCCAAACATATGCAATCCACTCTTGAACTTGATACTCATTGTGAACCATTGGAAGGGTATCATGGAGACATCTCCATCCTGGCTCTACAAGCCAAATTTGATAGGATGCATAGGGACCTCGAGCAGGCCAGAGTATTGAACAGGCAATATCAAGATGATCAAGCATCACAGTTGTCTCACCTGTGTGAAGTTGAACTAGTCCGAGAGCAGGTTGAGGTGGAAACTGCTAGAACAATTCTTCATTTACAAGAGGAGATTTCTACCCTTCAGCAAGAACTTCAGGATAGAGTATCTTTTATGACCCAAGAAAATACAAGATTAAGAAACATTATAGCATCTAAGGAGGAAGAAATAAGGTCATTGTCTGATGAGTGGGAGAAAGCAATTTTGGATCTAACAAGCTTCCTTATAGATGGTTGCAAATCCCTTGAAGATGCATCCAACCAGATTGAAAAAATTTCAGTTTCATTTCCTCAAGGGATAATCTGTATCAGTGAACATGTTGAAAGAGCTGCCAGCATCTTGATTGAGAAAGAGAGAACAATTATGCAACTACAGAAGAGTCTAGAGGAGGCACAGAAAATGGGACTGGAGATGAGCTCAAAATTGAGTTCCTTGAAGGGAGCGACAGTAGCTATAACTGAAGTTCATAGGCTAGAAAATGTGGAAATTTCCAAAGAAGTGTTGCAGTTAAGAACTCTATTAAATGAGAATATTTCTGTGATACAACAGTTAGAGAGTAAACTCAAAGAAAAGGAGGATGAGGTTGAAGCAATGAAATGTGCTGGTTCTGCATCCATAGAAGTAAAAAGGTCATCAGGTTTTCTCGATGGTATTCAGAAAGAAGATAACAAGAAGGAATATGATGAATTGGTTAAAATAAATCCTAACAGACTAGATGAACAAATAAAGCATCCTGAGATTGAAGACGAGTATCCTGAGATTGAACAAATAAAATATGAGCTTGGTCAAGCAAATGCCAGATTAAATGCTATCAAATCTGGCATTAGGATGCTCTTTAACATGTGTGGATTTTCAGAGACAGTTGGAGAGCTAGTATGGAGTAATATATTGAGTGTTGATTCTTTTGCAACTGACTCTGATCTCTCTCCAACTGACATTGCTCCAAAAGACGAAATGCAGAAATCTTCACCATCTAATTTCGATTCTGTGTACCTTGGAGAATTAAGGGAACATTATTGGGATTCACCATCTGAAAGAGATTTAACATGTGTTCTTGGTGATAGGTTGGACACATATCAGAATCCTATCAGAAACCTATTTTGCAATAATGTAACCATCTTGAGCCTGAAACAGGAAGTACAGTTGGCAATTAATAGCTTGCAGGAAATATATCTTCAGTTGGGCAGTCTTTCTGATTTGGATGGAAAGACAAATGGTTCTCTTCTAGAAGGAAGATGTGTCCTTGAATCACCTGCATTTGGGAAGAGTGCAGGTGAGCTGGAGATGGAGGAAGCCAAGGAAGGTTGTGACCACACCAGAGAGGTAATCATTGGGTTGAACTCTATACGATACTTAATATGAGACATGGTAAAGAATGGAATATGTTAATTATGTTATTTGTTACTAATGCTATTTCATGATAATTAGCAAAATTTTCATTAGACTAGGTAACTAACTTGATTTTCCCTCTTCTTAAATGATTGCACAGATCTTTCGTTTCAAACTCCATGATGCTAAGTTAGTTGCTGATGAGAAAATTAAGATGACCGGTAGCTTCCTTAGTAAATTAGAGGAGGCACAAGCAACGATGGAAGAGGCTGATGCTATGTTAAATGCATTGCTCAAAGCTAATGAAAATGAAAAGCATGTAACCAATAAATGGAAGCAAGCAAATGAAAAGTTGATGATGGAGAGAGCAATCTTGATTGATGAAGTTAAGCAGCTTAAAACTTCTATTCATCTCAAGGAGGGAGAGTATAAATTCTTGCAAGATCAAATGCATTCAGATTTTGCAGAACTCGCAAGCTCAATTTCTTCCCTAGAAGAATCTTTTCTGCTTATGCAGAGGGATGCCGATGAGAGGTTTGGAATGGTGTATTCTGACATCTTTTCCTTGGGAAAGTACATACTTGACTGCATTTACAACTCAAGATCAACACAGGAAGATGTATGGTCGCTGATAATGGAGAAAGACATTTCTTTATTTGTAATGAATCAGTGTTATTTAGGAAAATATATGGAGAAACTGTCAGGACTCAACATGGAAGTTGACTTCCTGCAACAAATACATAAGGAATGCCATTCTGTATTGCACAATCCAGGTAGAGAATGGTTGATTACAGAAGAGGGCATGTCTGCAACAAAAGGAATATTTCATATGAAATGCATAGGGGAAAAGGATAAATATGCACATCCAGAGAAGAAACTCTCTAGTCCAGGAGACATTGTGGATATCGGAATGTCCTCTGCAGTAGTTGCAAAACCAAAGGAACAGGAACTGAGTCTAAGCTATGATAATCTGATAGCTGAGAACTTGTTACTTAAGAGTGAACTGGCTCGGAAAGATGTCCTTTTGAAAGGGTTGTTTTTTGATCTAAGTTTGCTGCAGGAGTCAACCTCTAATGCTAAGGACACCAAAGCTGAAACTGAACATATGTTTGCTTCTCTCTCTCAGGTTCAACATGAACTATCATCAAAAACTAGTCAACTTAATTACATCTTGGTTCAACATGAAGAACTCACAGCCCGTCTAGTTGATTGTGAAGCTGCACTGTCTATTTCAAATCATGAACTTGAGCAGGCTAAGTATGATCTGGATATGATGTCCAATCAAAATGCTGAGTTGAGAGACCTCATTGAAGATCTCCATCTCAAAAGAAATGATGCTGAAGTGCAACTTGAAGAAAAAAATGATGTTGTCAAAGGTTTGGAGAAAGAAATTCTTCGTATGGCTTCCTCGGTAGATCAAATGGTTATCTCTGCCATTGAGAACACTGAGGACGAATTGAGGAAGGTTATTAGTGAGAGGGATTGCCTGCACAAAGAGGTTGTGTCTTTGAATGAAAAGTTTGAAATGGCAAATGCCCTAGCTGAGGAGAATGAGGCTATTGCTATTGAAGCTCGCCAGGTATATATTTATTATTCATTTTTGCATTTTTCTATTAATTGGAGATATGTATTCTAGCAACTCTTACTAATTTAACTTGGAGGGAAATCTTCCAGGTGTCAGAGGCAAATAAAATATATGCTGAACAGAAGGAAGAGGAAGTGAAAATTCTTGAACGTTCTGTTGAGGAGCTTGAAAGTACTATAAATGTACTGGAGAAAAAGGTAAGTATATTCTTTTGATTTGGTTGCTTGCTTCCTGGGGACATTTATTCCTTCTTTGGTGATTCCATAATTTTTTTAAGAGGAAAGGAAGGTAAACATTAGATATTTATGTGTGTTCCTTAATTTCTTGTACGTATGACTCCTGACATGGTCCAAACAGAGTAGTAGCCTTATATATTCCAATGTTCTTTCATCTGCCTCAAGCCTTGCTAGGTTTTTTAATCAATCAAAGCAACATGTTTCTTTCATCAGGTGTATGAAATGGGTGAGGAGGTAGAGAGGCATCGCTCATTGAGGGATGAACTGGAGCTGGAAGTCCAGGCTTTGAGACAGAGAGTGTCAACTGTTGAAACTGCTAAAGAAAATATGGAATATTCTAATGATGAAAATGAAACTGAGGATCAAATGTCACGGTTAATTACTTTTTTCCCTTGTTTAATGTTCAAAATTTCTTGTATCACTACCCTTGATTTCAAAGGATTAAATGTCCATGTGCAGGCATGTGGATAAAAACATCCTGGAGCTTCATGAAGCAAAGAATCGGATTAGGGTTCTTGAAAAGGAAAGAGCAGACCAGGCTGAAGAGGTGAACTCCTGGCTTCCTAGAGTTTATGTGCAGACATACATATACACATGCATGTGTTTATGTCAGACGGTACATCATGCATGTATGATGTATCATGTATGTACTTGCATGTGTACATACATATAGAAAAGCACATGTTTCCTTTGCTATACTAATAAATGGTTTTTTGGAATGAAGCTAAAAAGATGCAGAATGTATACCTCAGAACTGGTACTGCACTCAGAGGCCCAAGCATCACAATACCAGCAAAAGGTAGAGCTACAAATTTATAAGCTGAAATTATAGTTCTCATGTTTGAAGGAATTATAATGTCTGATCTGAACAGTGAAAATCATCAAAACTTACCTATTTGTTAATTTTGTTCACATGCACATGCATGATGGTTATTTAATAACTAAATATGTCCTGCATAGGAGATCTCCTACACCAAGGTCAAATCCAACCAGATGATCCTAAGCATCTGATCCACTTATTATCTGCTAGTCAGAATACTGAGGTGATTGGATTGATTAGAGATGTCTGATTGGATTGATAGTTAATGAGATCTCCCAGGTGGGATCTATGGAAGTATGGGGACTGGCCCTTATTGCAGGTGTCTTCATTGTGCAGCAGAGGTTGGATTTTGTGCCTTCTGCATTCCATCTATTGACTCAAGTATTCCTATCTGTCTATATTGATTTGAGATATCTAATGTTTATGCACTGGAACAGTACAAGATGTTGGAGGCCAAGGTTCGGGAATTGAAAACAGCCCCATCAACTTTCAGTTCTGCAGCATCAACGTTAGAAAAAATTGAAAAAGGCTCTGCAAGGACTAGGGGTTCCAGCTCACCATTCCGTTGTATTGCAAGCTTGGTTCAACAAATGAACTTGGAGAAGGATCAGGAGTTATCAGTGGCCAAGCTCCGAATAGAAGAGTTAGAGGCATTAGCTGCTAGTCGGCAGAAAGAGGTAAAATAATCTGTATTGCTGATGCATGATTCCCATATGTGTTGCATGTGCTTTTAGGTGTCACTCACAACTTGTTGTGCATTTTCCATATTCCTTTGCTTTCAGTAAACTGAGTTCGATTAGCATGAAATGGGGAGATATTTCCTTCGTTGAAATAGTTCTTATTCTTGACAATAAATGTAAATTCAAATTATCGAGGCTTTATTCCTTCTTATATTGAATACTAGCGATCTCATGGGATTTGTTAAGCGAAAGCTAAACAATAGAAACACATAAGAGTATACAATCATTTGATATTTTTAACTTTTTAAATAAATAATAAGTATTTATTTTTATATACTACTTTTAATAAATTTTTTACAATACAGAAATAACAATAATTAATTTCAGCTAGGATTGTTCATCAAATTGATGAAACTGATCAACTCGACCTGAGTTGGTTGGTTTTCTAGTATTTCTGGTTGGCTTTGGTTCAATAACTTCCCAACCTGACCAAGTTGGATCAGTTTCGCTTTGGCCATTTGTAAACCGTCCACAATCAAATGACCTAACCATAGATATATATTAATATTTTATATTTTAAATATAATTTTTTAATATGGGAAAGTGGAAAAATTCCCATATTTCTTAGTCTAAAATATTTTATATCATAAATTAAATTTTTAAATTTTTTTAGCAATGCCATTGTAATTTTTTTAAATTTAAATTTAATTTTTTAAGTTTAAATCTTTTGAACCAATTGACCAAATCAAAAATCAACCCAAACTGATACAACCCGAGTGGGCTGGTTTTCACAAATGGTCAGTCAGTTTTGAGTGACCAACTCCCCAACTTGACCAAGTTGATTTAGTTGGCCAAATAACCTACAATCGAATTGAACCAACCCATGAACACTCCTAATTTCAACTAAATTAATAGTCTAATCTCTAATAAATAACAATTTAATCTCTAGTAATTATTGAAAATTTATAGCAAAAATACACAATTATTAAAAATATATTGATAAAGAAAATACAATAAATAATTAATAAAAATACAATAATTAAAAAAATACAATAACTAAAAAATATATTAAATTAGTCAACAAATAGTATCATTTCAAATAATAGTCTAATCTCTAATAAATATTAATAAATAAATTATAACAAATATACAATAAATTAAACTTAAAAGATAAATAATAATAGTTTAATCTCCAATAACTATTGAAAATTTTCTGTTAAATAACAAAAAAAAATTTATACATAATTATTGAAAATATATTTATCACAAAAAACAATAACTAATTACTGAAATACAATAAATATTAATTTTAGTATATATAATTATATAATAAATATGGATTAAGATTTTAAAATTATTATTAATAAATATTAATTTTCTTGAAAGTTATTTTCTAGAATTATTAATTGATATAAGTGAAATTAGTTATTTACAATATTATTTATTTATTTAAATAATATAATTATTTAAATTTTAAAATATTAATTATTTATTGTATTTAATATTCGTAAAATCATAATTTATACTATTATTACATAATTTCATTATTAAGTTTGTGAAATATTAAATTATTATTAGTTTCAATATTATGTATATAATTATTTCCTACTTTTAAGAAATTTTTAAATTTATTTCATAATTTTGTTATTTTAACTATTTAAAATCTAGTTTTTTAAATATTTCGTTATTTAAAATATTTAGTTACTTAAATTTTAAATAATATGTAAAATATTTAGAAGCTTTGTTATTTGAGTTTTATTTATTTTAAAGGTATTACATAATATTAAATATTTTTTTATATAATTATTTAGATATTTTTAATATTTTGTTATTTAAGATATTTAGTTATTGAAATATTGAAATAATATTTTATTTTTTAATGCTAAATTTTTATTATTTGAATAACATTGAAATTGAATAATCCAGAAAATCATAATTTATATTGTTAGTACATAATTTCGTGATGAATTTTGTACAAATATAAATTATTTTTGTGTATTTTATAAATATTTTAAAGATATTATATAATTTCGTTAAATTAATTAAATAATTTTTAGTTTTTTTAATTCAAATTTTCTTTAGATAGATATAGACATAGTTAAAAAGTGGGGGAGAGGACAAATAGGAATTAAAGATAATTTAAGATATAAATGGGAATTAGAAATAATTTAGAAGATAAATAGGAATTAGAGATAATTTGGGAGAAAGTGGGGGAGGTAGTTTAGGAGAAATTTTAGGAGAGGAGATTATTAGATTATCGGGAACGTGTGGGGGTAAGAGAGAGAGAGAGAGAGAGAGAGAGTTAGATTTTAGGAGAGGAGATCATTTAATTCAAAAATGACATGGAATTAAAAAAATAAAAAATTCGAAAAAAGGAGAAAAATCCTAGACTTCCTTCTTTTGATATATATAGATTTTGCCACACATATTGAAAATCTTGTTATTGCAAGGAATTAATGCATAAGCTTGTTTCTCTCAGGTATGTATGCTAAATACAAGACTTGCTGCAACAGAAAACATGACACATGATGTTATTAGGGATTTGCTTGGAGTTAAATTGGACATTACCAACTATGCAGTAAGTTCTAGACTAATAGCACCTCACAGAATAATTGGAATCTTCATAGATGCTTTTGTTCATCCATTTCAATACTTGTTATTGGCACATTGTAGAACTTGATAGACCAGCACCAGGTGCAAAAGTTATTGGAGGAAGCTCACCGGCAAACAGAACAATCTCTTGCAAAGGTATATTCATTAGTGTTGGCTCTTTTTATTTTGGTTTAAAATTTTTCTTATTGTTTTTTTTTTGTCTGGTTAGGAGCAGGAAATACTCAAGCTAAAGAAATGGATTGATGATTTGGTTGAGGAAAGAAAGAGGTGAACTCCTTGATTTGATCCCCCCTCCCCCCAAGATATAGAAAGAGAGAGAGGCAATGAAAGACAATAGATGATAAGGATTTAGAATGAAATAAAAGAAATCATGTTAGACCCTGTTTTGGATTAATTGTAGACTTATCTAAGTTCATAGTGATAAGGATCTAGAGAGGCAATGTAATACAATGGAAGATAAAATATGGTGATATATGCAAGGAACCAGGTAGTGTTTGTTTCCAATTTTGCACCAATGGCACACCTGTCTTATGATTTCCAAATTAAATTCTCTAGTTCTCCATCTTTGTAATAGTATACAGCTTTTACCCATGTACTATTATCCATGTTCATTGATTTCTTGTTCCTGCAGCTGCATCGATGAAATAAATCAAAGGGAATCAGATATACTTGCTGCACAGGTAACAATTGAACAAGTTCGGCAACGAGAACAGTTACTCACAGCACAGAATGAAATGCTTAAGGTATTATATTTTATGAAAAATAGTTGAAACTTGTAACAAAGTACTGTACCCTACCTTCCTCACTTTGTCTTCAATGAATGCTTTTATGTTTGCTCTAACTTCTTATACAGACAGAGAAAATCAATCTAAAGAGGAAGATTGTAGAATTGGATGAAATGATAAAGAAACTTGTTGGATCTCAGAATATCCAACAGCTGAATGAACAGCTTGGAAAGGTGAAGCTATAACCATGAGTAATTGTCTTCTTCCGCAGTGATTGCTTTCCATTCACAGTGTTGATGTCCTTTGTTCCATCAGGAGAGCAATTTTCGTAGGGTTGATAATAAAGAGCTAAGCAAGAGGCTAGCACATTCAGAAAAGTTTCTTTCTCGTGTGAATGAAAGACCTAACTGGTATGCTAAGTCTGATTACAGGGGTCTATGCAACAAGAATGAAGAATGAAGAATGAAGGATATGATATGAAAGACAGGCATGTAATTTGATCTATAGTTGTCAAAATCTTATAATTTAAAATACCATTCAAGATTTAATCTTTTTTTTTTTGGCAATTCATGATTTAATCCTGTGACTATTGTTTGAATCTTATGATTCAATCCATGAACCTTATGATCTATTTAAAAAAAAGGCCATCACCCAATGCTGGTCTCAGTCTAGGGTCTTGGGAGGGGTAGAGCACATGTGGTCCTTACCTTATGTTCTATTTGATGCAATGTGAAAGGATTCGATTAGGACCTAGTTCTGTACTTGCCTTTTTTTTTTTTTGTATTTCTAAGGGGAGTTTGATTTTAATCTGTTAGTAGAATAAGATTTGTTTGGGTTACTAAAGTCCTATTTAAATATCTTATTGAATTTATTTACCTTCATATCTAGGAAATTTTCTGGTCAAAATCATATTTAAGAGCCATTGTGTGTGGTTTAATTAACTTTAAGTCCAATTTATTATTCACTAGAGGAGACCCCTGCGATGCATGGACTGGTGTTAAAAGGATGCTCATGTCACATTCAGTTTCTCAAATGAATTGGAAGTGGGTGATTTTAGATAGTTCCAAATTTAATTATTTTGTTTTTAAAATTCAAAGAACCACCAAATTCTAAAAGGGTTGGGAAGCAATATGAGGAATCTGAGGTGGACAACTGCATTTTAGAATATAGTATAGATTCTTACTGTTGATACTAAAAATTTGTCATGTTATTGTGGATATGCATTGAAAATGGGGTAAAATCATCTACAATTCATGATAAGGAAACAGAAATAATCTTGTTATTTATGATATGATTCATGATTTGGTTCGTTTGCTCCTCTACAATTCATGATAAAGTTATGATTTTCAAAACATTTTGATGTGGAATACTGCACCTTAGACTTCTATACTGGTTCTGAGGGTCAGCTGGTCAGCTAGCTTGGCTGGCACTGAATCCTGTATAACCTTAGTAGGGACCTGGTCAAGAATTTTATTTCCCTTCACAGAACTCCAAAACAATGCAAATTGTCCATGGAATATCTGACTTGAATTGGCCAAAACATTAAGCCCATTTTGAGAAGAATTTAATTGATCAGTTATTATGATTTCTGAAAACATATGCTAATGGATCCAGTTATAGTGGCATCTGGCAGGAACAAGAACAAGCATTTGATTAATTTGAAATGGGAGATCTGTACGAGGGAAAAATTGAAGTGGATGACCAAAGTGCGGATAATGGTAAATCTTTTGAGGGAGCAAGCTACATAGTGCATAAGGTAATCTCTATTATACTGTTCTAGGCAGTGTTGTTCAAAGAACCGGATCGACGGGCTAGTCTGGCCAGAAAAAACCATGAACTGGTCCCCTAGTTGGTTTGATCAAGCTCTAAAACTGGGGGTGAAAAAACCAACCATGACTGGTGAACCGGTGAACCGGTTTCGGTCTCATAAAATTGGCTGATTTTTTATTCTTTTTTTACTATTTAGTGCTGCCAATGGACTCCAAAAGTCCAATACCCAATTCAATTCTAAATCCGATTATCCTGGATTTGGATGTTAGACTTGCATCTAATTAATAATCTGATTGAATGCCAGATTTAATCCCATCTGATCTGATTAAAATTCAAGTCTGTCAAAAATTTATTATTTTGTGCATATATTAGTATAATATGTATATATAGATATTATATATAATTATATAAAGTTTATAATAGATAAATTTAATATTTTATATTTATATACATTTAGTATACACATATGTTAAAAGTAATTAGTTTTTTTAACCTTTTAATTTTTTTGTCATTTTAAACACAATAAGAGGTGATAATTGGATGCGGATGCAATTGGATCTTATCCGGTTATAGCCTTCTATCCGAATTTCTGATGTTTCACAACTTTGTGCTTGGTTGTCCAATTGGAGTGATCTTTCTTTTTTTCTTTTTTTTTTTTTTAACTTTTTGTGATCTTCACATTCCAAGTGGGTGAAGGTACTTTGCCCCTGGGGGTGAGCATGGGTTAGTTCAGTTCGTTTCCAAGGTAGAATCCTTTGAGGCTTTTGGAACCAGAACCTATCTTGTCATGATCATTCCAAGGCAGTTTTGGCATTGGCAGTTCTGAGGTCCATTTCAGATTCTACCCATGGAATGTGTTCCTTATAATAATCATGAAATGTTTATACTTGATTTTCAATAATGATAATATATAGTTTCGAACTTATATTACCTTTATTGATTAAATTGAGCAATTTAATCTAATAATTTTCATAATATATTAATTTATATTTCAGATTTATCATTATGATTTAATTTTTTTTTTAAATATTACCATTTACGTTACTTATTATACACATTCAAATATTAAATTGAAGAAAAAATGTTAATTTACTTAAAGTGGCTAAATGTTAGGTGAGACCATGGTCTTTGTAGTGATGAGTACTTGAGTTCAAATCTTCACATTTTCAAAGTATTTTGGGACTTATTTTAGGGCAAGTTTGGTTCCACCAAGGCCAACCAAGGGTGGTTCTTTGGTCTGGTTCAGGTAGGGTCAACTCCTGGACCCTAGAACTGGTTTGGGTGGGGGTCAGTTCGAGGTTGGTTCCATTTGATTTTGGGTAAAACCTGCCCATTTGCTCTCCCATCCCCACTACCTTTTTTTTCCAAAAAACACCTTTTTTGGCATCAAATATTAATTTTTAATATTAAAAGTTTAAAACTAAAATAAAAATACATATTTTAAATGCAAAATATTATTATACGCTTTGAATAATTGATATTATATTAACATAATAATTAATATTGTTATGTATATATTATATAATTGTGCATATTATACACAAGGTTCAAAATATCGATACGGTATGGGCATATCGGGCGAATCGATACTGTTTTTTTTAGTTTTTATTTTTTTTTTCTGAAACCGGTTTAGGGGGGCTGGTTTAGGTCTCCACCCCCTGAACCGGTCAGACCCCCGATACACCCACTATAGGGGCGTATTGGAGGGGTCCCGGAACGATACGTATCGATACTTTGAACCTTGATTATACATACATAAATGCATAAATACATATAAATTATTCTTGGTCTGAATGGTTAATTTGGATCATTAACAACTCTTTCAATTGAAAGTATGTTAATAAACAGATACAGATGTACATGCTCGTGTTCTTTTACTGTATTAGTCATTCACAATAGTAAAATGGAAAAAAAAAAAAAAACATATTCATATCGTCAATTGACTGTATTAGTCTCTATACATGACATTTTCTCTTTATGTTTATATGCAGATTCAATTTACAATTGAAAGATACCATCAAGATAGGTTGAAACGTTGAAGCAACAAGTATATACCAAACCGTCTCCCATTGTAACAGTTGTTTGTCCATTTAAATGGCTTGACTCTATTTTGTATATGGGAGCTCTAGGCGTGACTCGTTATCTGTCTGTCTGTCTTAAAAGTACACTTGAATGGAAATATTTCATTTCCCATTCTAAAAAATGCTTCTCAATATGCTGCCAAATACATGCAGAACTGGTTCTCGTCACTGAAAATTCCCAAATGTTGCTAAAGCAGCCAAGGTATCCTCTTGAGAATAGCAAAATCAATGAAACTGAGCATATCGATGGATGGTTAGAGTTAGAACAAAAGATTTAGGCCATGTTTGGTTCAATTTTCATTCTTTCTCATTTTTACTCAAGATGAAATCATGAAATTTTAAAATGGACAAGGGTAAAAATAGGTAGAATGAGAAAATATTGCTATGAACTAAATGCTTGTTTCCTAAAAATGAATTTTATTGACAAGTGTCCTATGTGAAAGGACTTTTTTAAATGTTCTTTTGTAAAAGTGCTTTTATAAAAATACTTGAATAAAAGTACTTTCATAAAAGTGTTTTTATACTTTCTTAAAAGTACTTTTAAAAATGCTTTCATAAAAGTATTTTTATAAAGTGCTTTTGTAAAAGTACTTCCATGGTAGTGTGTTAATACATCTATGGCAGCAGTTTTGTAGGCATATTTTCCTCTAAAGAATGAAAATGAACAATATGGAGTATGATTATTTTTCATGTTGTAGACTGCCTCGATTTTTGTGCTATGGGCTGATTTTTCATTCTAAAAAGAATCTCATGGCAAGAATTTTGTAATCAAACACTTTAATATTATTCATTCATGTTCATTCTTACTTAGAATGAGCAAGAATTAAAAGAATGAGGCCCAAGAAAAGGATTAAAAGAATGAGACCCAAAGCAGTGAACCAAGCATAGCCTTAATGTCTAGATTGTCACCTTCGACCATGACGATGCCCTTCTCTTGGCCAGAACATTCTTCTTGGTTGCTGTTGTTATTGTTGTCGACAAACAACGATGACAATGCCATTCTTCAATTAGCTGTAATCGTTTCTCCTGTTCAATGGAAGAAGAGATGAAACATTTCCTTTGATGATTGAAGTAATCTTCACTTTTACCTCAACTCACGGTGTAATTTCACAATCTAACCAAATGCATGCAAAACCAAACTGGAGTGCATTAAAGTACCGATCTAGCGTTTGCATTGCAAGTTTGCAACCAAATACAGCAGCCTTAATAAAAAAAAGGGGTAAATTACTGATAAGTACCCTGTAATTTGGGGGTAATAACACTTAGGTACCCCGGACTTTCGAATGCAATACTTAGGTACCCTGAACTTTCAGAAATGGACACTTAGGTCTACTCGTTAGTATTCCATCAGTTAAGCATTTTATAATACCAAAGTTACCCTTCTCATGTATTTTTGAACTGCTTTCACTTTTAATGTATAAACCCTTTATCCCTTTTTCGAAACTGTATCAGTATAAAGATGAAATAAATTCATAAGACTTCAGCCATCAACTGCATCGATCTATTTTAAGTTTGATGCAAAATAACTTTATCCAACAAAAATGGCTCAATCTGGGTTTGATTCGTTTGCCACTGTCGAATTCTTTGATGAATATTTACTGCAAATTTGAACAATTTGATCAAGCTTTTGAAATCTTCAAGAACTTAAGTAGCCTGGATATTGTTTCTTGGAACATAATTCTTTCAGTTTTCCATGAAAGTCAGGATGTGCTAAGATTCACTGTTAAAATGCATCAAACTGGGCTCTCCTTTGATGCTGTGACTTATACTACTGTTCTTAGTTTTTGCTCAGATATTCAGGACTGTCTTCTCGGTTTTCAGTTTCATTCCCTTGTAATTAAATTTGGGTTTGACTGAAACATTTGTTGGGAATGCACTTATAACAATGTTCTCAAGGTGGAGCTATCTAGAAGAAGCAAAGAAATTGTTTGATGGAATGCCCCAAAGGGATTTGGTTTCTTGGAATGCTTTACTTTTAAGCTATGTCCAGGAAGGAAATTATGGGGGTAGAAGCGGTTTATAACTTTGTTGAGTTGGTGAAGGAAGGTATGGAGCTTGATCATGTCTCTTTTTCTAGTGCTATTTCATCTTGTGGCCATGAAAAAAGCTTGGAACTTGGGAGACAAATACATGGTCTAGTTTTGAGATTTAGGCATGGGACTCATGCTTCAGTTTGCCATGTTCTCATCTCAATGTATTCAAAGTGTGAGGTGGTTGAGGATGCTAATATGGTATTTGGGAGCATGACTGAACACAATGTAATTTCATGGGCGACCATGACTTCTATAAATGAAAAAGATGCTATTTCTCTCTTCATTGATATGAGAAGAAAAGATGGAGTTTATCCAAATCCATGCTTAATCAGTTGAGAATTTGGTAAAAGAAGGGCATACAATTCATGGATTTTGTATAAAAACTAGTTTTTTGTGTGAATTGAATGTTTCCAACAATTTCATTGCCATTTATTCTAAATTTGAGTCCATGAAGGAGTCAAAGAAGATCTTTGATGAGATTGGTTACAAAGTGACAGCATCACTGGAACGCTTTAATTTATGGGTATGCACAAAATGGGATGTGTCAAGAATCTTTACAAACATTCTCCTTAGCAATACTAGAATCTTATCCAAATGAATTCACTTTTGGTAGTGTTTTAAGTGCAATTGGATCTGCTGAATCTGTATCATGAAGGCAAGGGCAACGGTGCCATTCCGGCATAATCAAACTTGGGTTAAATACCAACCCAGTTGTATCTGGTGCGCTCCTGGACATGTATGCAAAGCGTGGAAGCATTGAAGAGTCACAGAACATATTTAGTGAATCACCTCAAACAAGCCAAGTTTCTTGGGCTGCAATTCTCTCTTTTTATGCAAGGCATGGAGACTTTGAACCAGTGATGGGACTGTTTGAAGAAATGCAAAGAAAAGCAGTCCCACTAGATTCAATCACCTTTCTATCTGTTCTAATTTCCTGTGGCCGACGTGGGATGGTAGATATGGGTTGTCGAGTATTTGATTCAATGATCAAAGATCATCACATTGAACCATCCCTTGAACATTATTCATGTGTTTTGGATATGTTGGGCAGGGCATGGCAGCTCGATGAGGCAGGGGAGTTTGTGCGTCAGATGTCAACAAAGCCAGGCTTATCTGCATTGCAGAACTTACTTGGGGTTTGTAGGATTTATGGAAATGCCGAAATGGGTAAAAGGGCTACTGAGGCTTTAATGCAGACAGAACCCACGTTGTCAAGTTCTTATGTGATGATATCTAATATATATGCTGAGAAGGGAGATGATTTCTTCTCAGGTGGCGGCAATGGTTTTTGGATCCCACGGCGACAATGGCTTCTTCTCCCCACGACAACAATGATTTCTTCTCAAGCAGCGACAATGGTTTTTTCTCAGGTGGCAGCAATGGTTTCTTCTCCCCACGGAAGTAACGGTTTCTTCTCAAGCGGTGGCAATGGTTTTTTCTTAGGTGGCGGCAATGGTTTCTTCTACTCATGACGACAATAGTTTCTTTTCCCCTCGATGAGCAACAATGGTGCCCAGATGAATAGAACCCAACTTTTAATCAGGGTTATTTTGGTCTTTTTAAAATTTGTGATTTAAAATATTAAAAAAAATAGGCATTTAGATAACTTTACAATAATCTAAAATGTGAGTTAACAGAAATGGACCTAAGTACAGAGTAATTATCTAAATGTGAGTTAAATTATAGAGTAATTATCTAAATGTGAGTTACCCCAAAAGTACAGAGTAATTATCTATAATTTAATCTGTTGCACTCGTGGCTTCTCAATTCACTAATGCAGCTGCAAATGCATTTGATTGAATTTGAATTATGTATAGTCAATAGATATAATAAACTAAACTGAAAATTATCAAAATGTGATATATTATTAAAGAAATGAAAATTTTGATGAGAGGTACATGAATAAAACAACTTTTTAGCCGATTTTAGTAAAAAATACTCTTGTAGGTGGGGGTGCTCACGGTTCGGTTGATTTTCAGGACCGAACTGATATGTTTGATTTTTACATTTTAACCGAATCGAAACTCAACTGATGCAATCGGTTAACCAATTGACCAATAAACTACGGTTCGGTTTTTCAGTTTTTTTTTTATATTCTCAAAATAAAAAAAAGGGAATTGCGAGACAAGAACAACTGAAGAGTGAGAATCTGAGAGAATGTCGTCGAAGCAGGAGGGATTGCCTCTGACGTTGGAGGGCGGAGCATCGAAGGCCGTTGGTGTCGGTCCATTGGGGAAGAACGAAGAGAATTAGGAGAGTGGGAGTCTGAGAGAGTGAGAATCCAAAAGAGATCATCGGAGGAAGGATCGCCATTTGCTAGTATCGCCAAAGCAAGAGGGATCACCAGAGGCCATTGATGATTTGATCGGAGGGTGAAGCGCCGAAGGCCGTCGCCCATCGGTCCGTTGGGGAAGAACTGGGACTGAGAGAGATCAGAGAGTGGGAGTCTGAGAGAGACAGAGAGTGAGAGTTGAGAGAACTCAAAGAGAGAGGGAAAGAAAGGGAAAGCCAAAAATGGCTATTCTGCTTCGCCAGTCTAGCTGCCTGTTTGCCACTGTCAAACTAGTGAACTGAAAAATAACTGCCAACTGAAAAGTCTCAATTCACATTTATTAGATTTTCAAAAACAAAACAAAATATAATAATATATATATATAATACTACATAAATGTATATTATTGTATATATCGATTGGTTCAGTTAACTGTTAATTTTTTAAATAATTAATCGAAATCGAATTAAAACTATCGATTTTTTTAAGATATCAAGCCAAAACTGAACCAACCGTTAACCAATTTTTCGATTCGATTTCGGTTGATTCGGTTTTTCTGTTTTATTTTTTATTAACCTACTTGTAGGTAGGCTTGTAGTTTTACTTAAGGGTTCGAACGCTGTGAAATCTTCAAATCAGATTATCCGGTCGAAATTAACCCAACTTGACCGTCGTTAGTACAGTACGGTACCGGCAGTCAGACACAAAGGAGACCTCGGACCCCACTCCACTGGATCACGAGTCACGACTCAGCGCTTGCAAGTTGTAAACTAAGAAAAGTTTTATTTATGTAATTTGATTCCTACAAGTACCCAATAGTTAACAGATGCAGATTCAGATGCAGAGCACGATCCCCACCACACCAACCAGTTCGGTAAGCCTACTCTTCTCCCTTAAATCAAAAGCCACCTCCCCCAATTTCGGCCCTTTAACTCCCTTCACGCCTCCCCTCCTTATCGCCCTGTCTTTGCTTTGTTTGACGTTTGTTCCTCTTTTTCTTTTTTAATTGTTTTTCTTGAAGAGCGTTCTTTCTCTGGTCAGTGTTACAGATTTATTAGATTTAGAGAGATCAATCAAAGAAATGGCGAGGAAGAAAATCAGAGAGTATGATTCCAAGAGACTTCTCAAGGAGCACTTGAAGCGACTTGCTGGGATCCAGCTGGGGATATGCTCTGCTCAGGTATCGAGATCTGTCCTTCTGCATCCCGGTTCTGTTTTCAGGTCCTATTGTCATTTCCATTTCTCGCTTTCTCTGTCTTCCTGTCTATCTCCCATTTCTGCTTTCAATTTATAATTATTGCTCTAAGATGATAAAATAGAACTTTCTTCTGTATGCGAATGTTGCAATGATAATTTTGTTTCTATATAAACTAATGGAAGACATGCTTGGTACTGTTCCTGGAAAAAAATAGTTGCTGAAAAATGAGAATTTTGTTTCAGATTTTACTGAACGGGGAAATAGAACTCCTGTTGTGGGATATTAATTTAAATGGTATCCCATTAGGAATGCTTGGAACTTATTTTGCAAGGGATTGATTATCAATTTTACTTATCTGTATTTGTAAGGTAACGGAATCGACAGATTTCACTGAGTTGACAAACCAAGAACCGTGGCTTTCCTCTACAAAATTGGTTGTGAAGCCCGATATGTTGTTTGGGAAGCGTGGGAAGAGTGGTCTGGTTGCTCTGAATTTGGATCTGGCTCAAGTTGCAACCTTTGTGAAAGAGCGCCTTGGTGTTGAGGTGATTCTTAAGTGACATTACGCCCATATCAATTAGTACAATTAGCTTTCTCTCACATGGAAATTGTATCTTGTTTAGGTTGAGATGGGTGGGTGCAAGGCACCAATAACGACTTTCATTGTTGAGCCATTTGTTCCCCATGACCAAGAGTATTACCTTTCTATTGTCTCTGAGAGGCTTGGATCAACCATTAGCTTCTCCGAGTGTGGGGGTATTGAAATTGAAGAAAACTGGGACAAGGTACGATGGAACATGGAAGACCAAATGGGCATTTGCAGTTTTCTTCCTGCAAATGGTATTCCTTGTTTTTTTCCATATTTTTTTTCCTGATCTCCAAGGGTAATTGTTTGTTATGTTTATACAGGTTAAGACTATATTTCTGCCTACTGAGAAGCCTATGACATCAGAGGCATGTGCTCCACTGATTGCTACACTTCCCTTGGAGGTATTTTTAGCTTTTTCCCCTGGGGTGGTTTTCCTTGTTTTTGCATGCTATGGCATTTAACAAAGAAATTATATTACTTGGAATCTCTTGTATATTCTTACCATAAGGTGGACAATGTTTTTTGTTGGGCATTGAGTGTTCAAATGTTTAATATCATGTTGTGCATGTGACCTGCTTGTCTGCAAACATTTAAAGAGACAAAAAGGAAGAAAATGAAAAATTAATCAATGTTTTTAAAGAAAGTGTAAATTTTCTAAAGTTCTATATCCAATTCAACCATGCAATAGATGAAAAATGATTCTTGATTGGATGGTAATTGTGTACTGTTTACTGTAAAAGCCGCCACTTTCTGCCCTTTATGCATATAAAGAAAATCTTGATTTGTCTGGGACTTTAAACATTTTCTATTTATCACAATTTTTGTTGGCTCTGTTTATGAGTACATCATTGTTTTGTCTGCTTAAAATATGCTTATTATCTTGGTGCAGGTTCGAGGGAAAATAGGAGACTTCATAAAGGGTGTATTTGCTGTCTTTCAAGGTATGATCAGAAGAGTTGAACTCTCCCTCTCATTATTGAGCATATGCAACATTTCACTTATTTCTTGAAAAGACTGAAAACACTTTTTTAAAAGAGAAATGGTCCATGTATATTTTTTTTAGTAACTGTCTTTTTGTTGAGTATTTCTGCACGCTGATGTTCTCTTCATGATTGTTGATCCTCTGCTCTGTATTATTCTCAGATCTTGACTTCAGTTTTATAGAGATGAATCCCTTTACATTAGTAAATGGAGAGCCATACCCATTGGATATGAGGGGAGAATTGGATGACACTGCTGCCTTCAAGAACTTTCAGAAGTATTTTTTTTTTTGTTCAAGATCTAATGTAGACATACCACAGGTTTTTTTTTTTTTTTCCTTTCTCAATGAACACTACAGAGGGTGTTAGTCTTATAAAAATGCGCTATATTGTGCAGGTGGGGCAACATTCAGTTCCCACTGCCTTTTGGCAGAGTCTTGAGCCCTACAGAAAGCTTTATCCATGCATTAGATGAAAAGGTTACTATTTTTAACTTCTAGCTCATGTTTTAATTCTTTTGTTAGAAGATTCTTTTACTGGACTAACTGTATAAAAAATATTTTAGATGTTATTTCTTTTTGATGAAATAGTGAAATCACTAATGCAATATCAAGAAGGCTTCATTTAACTTCTTTCGGTGGAATGTTGTAGCAATTCTATTGCAGTTTCTATGGGTTCAGAAATCTTATTTGAGTTATGAAGCTAGTTTGATTCATTATAAACTAACGATCCAATCATTTCAGAAGACACTTGGAAGTCATTTTCATATGAATGTAAAGGAAACTAGGGCAGATAAGCACAGAAAATTTGATCTATAACTACTGATTTCCTTCATTCTTGATGTAAGAACCGTTTATTGTCCAGTAACCTGAAGCAACGAAATATACTGATGATGATGATGATGATTTTTGAGATGTGATCTAGGTCATTCACTGGATTAGAACCCCTTGAACGTTTTGGTCAAGAAATTCAAAGCTGGTGGCAATAAGAAACTTCTGGTCATTTTACTTTAGGTTTCATTTTAGTAGTGACACTCCTAATACACTGTCCTAATTGAAGGGAGTGAGAGATCCATCGTATGGACTCCCAAATCTTGCAGAATAAGGTGGGCGAATTTCAAAAATTTCTCTCCCCTCAATTGGGAATCACATTCCCTATTTTAGAAAAATCATATTTTTCAATGATCTATTTTGAACCATGAATCAAACTAGATCTGAACAAAAGCAGTAGGAGAGGATTATACCTGATACGGAGAAATAATATCTCCCAATGAAGGTGTTCACGCCCAAGGAATGATACAAAGACTGCTCCCACTGAAGATGGTGCAATGTAGGATTGAGCAAAATCAACAGTGTTCTCTCCAATAACCTAATCCTTCGCAAGAAATAGTAGGATGGCACGTGAGCACAGCTTTCTATCAGTCCCTTCACAAGGAACTGATGTCAAGATCGAATCTTGATTTCTCCCACTGAACTGGAGATCGAACTGGCAGGTGAGGCAGCGGCAGGAAGGAGGCGGCAAGAGAGAATTTTCGCAAATATGCTGAATTCTCTCTTCTGTGATTTCAGCTCTGAAGACAAGTGAAGGACTTGTGTTATGTGTCTAAAGGTGGCCGCCCTCTCCTCCTTTTATAGCCTTAAAGGGGTCAGCTCATAATCCCATTAGGAGTTGTTGATCCAAATCATATTTGGATCAGACTTCCCTTTAAGTGATAAGGGTAAATCCTTATCTTATCTGCAGATTGGATCAGCTTTCTCCTAATCTCATTAAGAGGTTTCCAGATCTGAATCACATTCAGATCTAGACTCTCTGAGTGGATAGGGTTAAGACCCAATCCTATCTGCTAATCCAATCTCAGAATTCGCCCCTTATTTAACTGATTAAATTAGCCCAGTTCAAAATGGGCTTTAGGC